ACTTGTCACTAAAGTCAAGAGTATCTGGGTAACCATAATTTTCCTTAAGCATTTTTAAGAATTCTTGGTTTCCTTGTTCTCTACTTCTTTTATGTCCTTGCTCTGTTTGTGGTTGTGGTGCTGGGATTTTGAACTGTTGGTTGTGGTGCTGGAGTATTTTGAAACTGTTGGTTGTGGTGCAGTGTTTTGAACTGTTGGTTGTTGTGTTGGTTTTTGGTGCATGCCTGTGTCCATGTGACGATGTAAATGTTTTAGGTAGTCCTGGTGCAGGTGCTTCTCTTGGAGGGTTTGGTGGTATATAAGTTCCACTAGCTAGTATATAAGTCCACCAGCTGGCACATATGTTCCATCTGCAGCATAATGTCCTACCTGACTTTTCGTTTTTAAGAAAGCATTTACTAGGTCTGTTTTGGTCTGTTGTAACTTTTTTCTTGACTTTCCACAACAGTTGCTCTAACGGCGTCATAGGCACTTTTGAACTGCCTGTCTCGTTGCTGCATCTGTTATTTCGTCATATTTTGTGCTACTTCTCTTAACTCGTTGTCGAAACCTTCAGACTTCAGTTTCTTTCCAGATGAGAAGTCGTTCACTAGTTTCACCTTACTATGAAGAGCTTCGAAGGCGTTCTTAAAGTCAGCATTCATTAAAGCTTCATTTGAACTGTCTTCATCCGCTTGTATTTTTGTCCTTATTGACCCTATAAGTTGGGCTGCTTTAGCGTTGGCTTGGGCATCTAACCAGTCATTATTAGCTTTTTATATTCTGCGCTTTTCATTGCCTTTTGCATGGCTGCGTCGTTATTTTACTTTCTTGTGCTAAGTTTTCATACTGTACGGTTTGGTTTTGCAACTGTAAAAGTTTTTCTGCCTTTACATTTGCTTCAACTTCTTTTTTATACTCATCGCTATCCATATATGTCTTCAGGGCTTTTTGTTTTATTTCTTCATCTTTCAGTACTTTATATTGATAGTATGTTTTTCAAATTTATAACATCTTGTTCCATTTTTGCTACTTCTGCTGCTTTTTCTGACACTTTTTCGCATATTCCTCTTGTACTTAGTTCTTTCAGTTGTTCTTCTTTCTTCTTTTTTCTCTATGTTTAACTCATTGAGTTTCTTTGTGTGTCTGTCATATTCTAGTTTCTTTTCGTTTTCACTTATTTGTTTTGTATGTCTATGTTTGACTTTTGACATCTGTTATTTGATTTTTGAGTGAACTCAAATTCATTTGACTTTGAGGGTTATAAGCTGTTCCGTCTGCAGCTCCACCATAGCCTGCCATTTTCGCTAAAAGTGCCGCTCTTAAACCTCCACTCTGTGCACCAATAACTCGGTTTAAAAGCATAGGGTTGCTTGACATTTGTTGCAACATAGTGGGGTCATTCATCATTTGTTGTTGCAACTGTTGTTGTGGTGTCAGTTTTACTATGGGATGTTTCAATGCTCCCTTCCTCTTACGTATATTCTAACGTAGCTTACGTGGCATTTTAAGTGAAGTAAAAAACGGTTTTTGACAGATGTTTATATGACACTTTTTGTGTCGCTTTTCACAAATTATATATGTTTTCATGTTTTGTCACCGGCTGGTCGGCTGGGGTTCGGTCCTCCTCTTGGGTCTTGGGCAAAATTCTTAGGGCTAGAAGGGGCGCAGCCCCTGGAAGCCCTCCAAATATAAACTTCATTTATACTAAACATCTTCAGGGCTAGAAGGGGCGCAGCCCCTGGAAGCCCCACTACCTTTTTTTTTTTTTTTTTTTTTTAAATGTTCAACAAAAAATAAACGTTGTTAAACCAATTACTGAAATAAAAATTTTTTCATCTGTTGAAGAATTTAATGACTATTATGCTAATAATAAAAAATTATTTGAAGAATTGACAACGTGTAAATTGAATAAAATGTTTAAAGTTGATGGATTCAAAATTTCAAAAATAAAGGGAGTGGTTAGTTTGAAATCTATTCCTCAATCAAGAATCACCTCATTAATGAAAATTGATGATTTAACGAGAGAGGGTCAAAGTTGCTATTTGTCACTTTTCCACAAGAATATAATGGGGAAAAAGTTATCATATAGTTGATCTCATTCACTGAGGTGAGAGATGCATGTAGTGTAATGTGATAAACAGTGGGATTGCTGCTCTAAGTCCTAGGTTCGAGACACATTGGCTTCATTTTTCTCTTTTTGATTGACGTAAACTATTCAATTTTTGTGTTCTCCATTCAAATTTCAGAATTTTTTTTGCAGATTTCACGCTACATTCGAAGTTACCTTTTGTAACAACCACCACTGCCTACGAAAGACGAAAGTGTGTCACGATTTCACCCGGAAATCCGACGGTTGTTTAAGAGTATGATTTAACAAAAAGAATAGAAGAGATTGAAGAAAGAATAAATCAAAAAAAAAAAAAAAAAAAAAAAAAAGGTAGTGGGGCTTCCAGGCACTTCGTGCCTTCTAGCCCTGAAGATGTTTAGTATAATTGAAGTTTTTATTCGGAAAATTGTTAGTCTTCTGGGTCGAAAACATTATATAATGTGTCGCTTTTCACAAATTATATATGTTTTCATGTTTTTGTCAAGACTTCTTCGTAATGAGTGTAAATGACCAAAAATATAATTTAGGTGAAGAGGTGAGATCTCACCTCTTTTCTAACCTCTTTTCTACCCTCTTGAATTTTCATGACTTCTTCGTAAATGTTTTGTCAAGACTTCTTCGTAATGAGTGTAAATGACCAAAAATAAAGTTTAGGTGAAGAGGTGAGATCTCACCTGTTTTCTCACCTCTTTTCTCACCTCATGAATTTGTCAAGATTTCATCGTCATAGGCACGGAGATAGGACGGTTATTTTACAAAACTGACAACACTTTGACCGAGTAGTTTTTTGAGCTGAACAAATAGTGTCATATAAACATCTGTCAAAAACCGCTTTTTAACTTCACTTAAAATGCCACGTAAGCTACGTAAGAATATACGTAAGAGGAAGACAGCATTGAAACATCCAATAGTAAAACTGACACCACAACAACAGTTGCAACAACAAATGATGAATGACCCCACTATGTTGCAACAAATGTCAAGCAACCCTATGCTTTTAAACCGAGTTATTGGTGCACAGAGTGGAGGTTTAAGAGCGGCACTTTTAGCGAAAATGGCAGGCTATGGTGGAGCTGCAGACGGAACAGCTTATAACCCTCAAAGTCAAATGAATTTGAGTTCACTCAAAAATCAAATAACAGATGTCAAAAAGTCAAAACATAGACATACAGAAACAAATAAGTGAAAACGAAAAAGAAACTAGAATATGACAGACACACAAAGAAACTCAATGAGTAAACGTAGAGAAAAAGAAGAAAGAAGACACAACTGAAAGAACTAAGTACAGAGGAATATGCGAAAAAAGTGTCAGAAAAAAGCAGCAGAAGTAGCAAAATGGAACAAGATTATAAATTTGAAAAACCATACTACTCAATATAAAGTACTGAAAGATGAAGAGATAAAACAAAAAGCCCTGAAGACATATATGGATAGCGATGAGTATAAAAAAGAAGTTGAAGCAAATGTAAAGGCAGAAAAACTTTTACAGTTGCAAAACCAAACCGTACAGTATGAAAACTTAGCACAAGAAAGTAAAAATAACGACGCAGCCATGCAAAAGGCAATGAAAAGCGCAGAATATATAAAAGCTAATAATGACTGGTTAGATGCCCAAGCCAACGCCAAAGCAGCCCAACTTATAGGGTCAATAAGGACAAAAATACAAGCGGATGAAGACAGTTCAAATGAAGCTTTAATGAATGCTGACTTTAAGAACGCCTTCGAAGCTCTTCATAGTAAGGTGAAACTAGTGAACGACTTCTCATCTGGAAAGAAACTGAAGTCTGAAGGTTTCGACAACGAGTTAAGAGAAGTAGCACAAAATATGACGAAAATAACAGATGCAGCAACGAGACAGGCAGTTCAAAGTGCCTATGACGCCGTTAGAGCAACTGTTGTGGAAAGTCAAGAAAAAGAGTTACAACAGACCAAAACAGACCTAGTAAATGCTTTCTTAAAAACGAAAGGTCAGGTAGGACATTATGCTGCAGATGGAACATATGTGCCAGCTGGTGGAACTTATATACCACCAAACCCTCCAAGAGAAGCACCTGCACCAGGACTACCTAAAACATTTACATCGTCACATGGACACAGACACAGGCATGCACCAAAACCAACACAACAACCAACAGTTCAAAACCCTGCACAACAACCAACAGTTCAAAACACTGCACCACAACCAACAGTTCAAAATCCAGCACCACAACCAACAGTTCAAAATCCAGCACCACAACCACAAACAGAGCAAGGACATAAAAGAAGTAGAGAACAAGGAAACCAAGAATTCTTAAAAATGCTTAAGGAAAATTATGGTTACCCAGATACTCTTGACTTTAGTGACAGATATAAAGAAGCTATTAGAAAGTTCAAGGAAGGAAATACTGACCCGAACCTATTTAGCTTTATGGTTCAGCACCAAATGGGATATAATTTCAAACCTGGAAAATACAAGCTCGCTAAGGGATATGATTTAATAGCATATCATCCAAATGACATGGATGAATTTACTCCGAGATATTTGGTGTCAGAGATAAATGATAATTCAACTATCTTCATGAAACGCGTAAAAAATAGAGACGGAACGAAAGAAGAAAGGTTATGAATGCGGATGGCTTAAATAGGGAACTTGTTAAAAACGGTCTCGGAATATATGAAATGCCACCAGATGAGGTACAAGAAACTCCACAGGAAGAAGTTCAGATACAACCAGACATGGAAGAAATAGTTCAGCAACAACAGCTAGAAGAGCCTGAAGGAAACGAACAAGTCCCTCCTTTGGAAACTAACTTCACAGAACTAGATGAAGATTTGGAACAGCCGAAAAATCTTGACCCTCAACAAGTGTATGCGGAGAATATGGAATCTTTCCAAGAGTCTAAGAAAAATTCGGCTGACATAGTAGAAGAATATCGAAAAATGTTCGCCGACATACAAAGACTCCAACATCAGATGAAAATATTCAGCATAGAATGGAAGTACTGAAAGAAAGTGTACGCAAATACAACAATCCTTTTTACTTACGACCATATAACGTTCAATCTTTGGCTGAACTCGGTGAAAATAAAAGGTTAAATTTCAACAAAACATATAGAAATGAAACATTGTTTAAAGTTCATTCAGAACCTAACCAATATGGAAACAAACCTACTTTTGTTTCTGCAGGACTATGGAACTACAATGAGATGGGGTCATAAAGCTAATCCGGATAGGTGGTTCATAAACTTACAACCACAATTCCAAGAAGTTGTAGACGCAATGGAAGTGAATGGTGAACCAGATATAGCTGGTATTTTCAGCGCGGCTTTAATGCCATTGAAAGATATGAAACATGCAGATATTTTGAACCAGTATGAAATGAACATGGCTGATGGAAATATAACACCTGACGTTCTAGAACATTTATCTCAAAAGAACTACACAGAACCATAGAGATGGTATATTTGGTGAAGAGTTTAGAAAGAAAGTTAGGGAGAGAGAAGGAAGAGAACCTATTGTACATGACCTTGCAAACGAAAGTTTACAAAATGTCATAAAAACTTACTTTGCAGACAATGAACCGAGAAGGGATGAATATTTAAGAAAACTCAAATGGACAGTACCAAATGAAATGTTAGTATTGAAAAACATGTTCCTTGACAAAATAAAACCAACTACAGAAATAAATGACGCAAGACTGAAACATTGGGTAAAAGCTTTCCCATTCACAAAAGATATTGTTGGTAACATGGAAAGAAAACCAGAATGGCTACAAAAACATATATTTGGAAACGAGCATATTCCATATGGACAAGCTCTGTTTGAAGAGCTTGAACCGGAAACTCAGGAAAGAGTCATGCAAACAATACGCGAAGACTCAAATACAAACTATGACAAAATCTTTCTAGGATATAGGTTACCTGAGATGGGCGACCAGAGCCCAAAGGCAAAAGGACATGGGAAATTTACAACATACTAGTGAACATGAGGCAAAGATGCAACAACTTGAAGCAGAGGGCAAGTTACCAAAAGCGACACCAAAGAAGAAGAGTAGAACAAAGTAAAGCTTGGTACGAGTGGGTTCTATTATGATATATAAATCCAACTATTCTATATTTTTACCCATATGAAATGTACGCCGCTCAGAATATAACGCCAACAGTTTGGATGCCATGAACGGAAATGTTTCCGAATGGTATAACGAATGCGACAATGCCATTAGAAGGTCAGAAATAGTTCCTGGAACTTACGAATATACAACTGCTGTTTCTTATGGAAACGTAGGTGAGTTTGGAGAAGGTTCTTCAACAACAGTAGATATTGCTTGCGACAGGTTTTCATATTATTTCTATTGACAACTCATTCTTATACGTGGAACAAGACATTGAAATAAAACCTTCTGCCAAGTTGTCTGACAAGAAAGGTTGCAATGGAATTTTCTATGTCGGATACCAATATGCTCCAGAAGTTTTCATGGGATATAAGATATATTCTAACTCTGACTTAGTTCAAACAGTAACATGGGCAAACTATGAATGGTTCGCTTTGAGAAACTCCGTACAACCACAAGCTAGAGAACAAACAGACCAGTATGCAAATATTGAGAAAATAAGAAGACTTGACCCTAACGTTCCAGGAGTTTATGTTAACCTTTCTGGTTCAGATGGAACTGCTGCCACTAAAGTAAAACTGAAACTTAGAGTTCCTTTGTCATCTTTCCTCATCTTCAGGTTTTTAAGATACTTGCCAAACTGGGCAGGAAAAAATTTCTATCGAACTTACTCCAAGCAAAAATAACTTAGTCATTGCACCAACACAAGACCCATTCAGCATTACTATAGCTGAACTGGTGGAGCCAAGTTCTGTGACTTTTGCAAAGACAAAGTTGACTTAGACTTTGGTTTCTCAAACTTCAACAATGAAGTAAACTATTATTTCAATGCTGCTGGAACTGCTTGGGACCCAGTTAAGTTTACATGCGAAAAGTTTGAATGCAAGAGAATAGAAAGCAGACTTGCAGTCTATATGTTGGACCCAGATATTTCAAATGCTTTAGCTGCCAAATATATTGCAGTTCCACTTATGTTCCCTATACACCAAATATCTGTCAAAGACTTTGCAGGTGAAGTTGGAAACCAAAGTGCTGACCCAGGTGCAAGAACAGATATTGCTTTAACAACTGCAATGAAACATGCAGATACTATGTTTGTACTGTTCAGACGAACTATAAATGACTATTCTTGTTTCTACAACCCGGTATTAAATATCATATAAACATAGATGGCAAATATTATCCAAGAGAAGAATATTCTACAGTTGAGGATATGAGGTCATACAACTTGACATTAGATGCTATGAACTTTAACAACAACTTCACAACAACCATTAACCCTGAAATGCAAAGTTCTATTATGCCATATGTGAAAGTATGGACTCATACAGGAGGTCAAAAAACTCAATATACAAATGGAGACCGTTCAAACTTTTGGCTTGGCATTCCATTTGCTGACTCAGAAGACTTTATGGGTGGTATTTCAACTGTTGGTACTGTACAAATACAATATACTGGTGACAGAGACGGTCCAGATGAATTGAAAGCAAAGAAGTTTACAAAACCAATAGCACTTTTCACGGAAGATGCTCTTTTGAAGATTCGTTCGATGAAACCTGCTGGGGCTCCTCAGATTGCATAACGACAGCTTCCATCGAGCAGATTTTGGCAGCAGGTCAGTAAGTTGTTCTTGAACTGACTTCTCTCCGTCAAATATTGACAGTACGCCAGTTTTGACATAATATTGTATTATAAACTTTCCTTTAGAAATATCTGTAAGTTTTGAAGTTATATTTTTGTCTGCTTCAAGAACTTTCACCATTTCAGTTATACCAACTTTCTTTGCTTTATGAAAATATTTTGGTTCAGCAAAGACTGCTATTCTATAACATTTTCCATTGTTTGTGTAAAGAACTATTCTGTCAATGTATTTGTATTGTTTGTGTGTGTAAACTTTGTTCTGCTTCAATTCGAAGAGATACTCGAATACGTCCATCTTTTTATTCTAAGTAAAATGTCATTTCCGAAAAATAGAAGCGTAAGTGTTTCAAAAGGTTTAATGGCGGTGGCAGATGTGAAGTTAAATTCACCAACTCAAACAAACAGTCAAAGTGTTGTTGTCAATGTCAAAGACAGAGATGTTGAAGTGGGGAAACCATACGAGGACGAAGATGGTATAACAATTGTTCCTGTAAAAGAACAACCAACATATCCTGAAGTTAGCAGAGACTTAAGTTCTGTTGCAGATATTCGAAACGACTACCAACAACTGAAAGACAAACTTCAAACTCAGGAGAAGATTTGTCAAGCTTTAAGTATAATGTTAAACTTGGTCGAACACAACCCTGTAAAAGTGAACTCATATGTCATCGCACCTCATGAAGTTTTGAAAGAACTATTGAAACTTTTGACAGAGGCAGACGATATAAACATCAAAGAAATAGAACCCGACATTAGTTGCTGTGGTGTTTCATATAATGTCATTGACAAGATATACGTTATGAAAGGAGGTGAAACGTTGAACTTAAAGTATAGTTTCCCAGACGTCATAAAAATATTTGACGACCACAACATTTCATTAAAATTTATTTGCTAAGTAAAAATGTCAAAACTTCTTGAAAGATGTTTGAAGAAAAATAATATAGACTTTATTTCATGTAAAGGACTTTACACACTTTTGAACGATATGAAAGACCCTGTTTTGTTTGTTCGTGTAGACAAAGGAAAGTTCTATGTCTTTACAAAATATTTGAACTTCTTAGACAGAGAACTTCAAGAAACGCCATGTGAAAGTTTAGATGAAGTTCTTCTCCACTTTCAGAAAAACTTTTAAATATATATAAATGGCAGAAGATATAATGGTTTATACTATTACGACTAAAAACCCCGAGTCATATAATTCTATAACAACAAACTTACAAAGTCCTCAAGGACGGTATTGTAAACTAACCTTAAACACAATGACGACTAAAGCCTGTTTTGCTCTTTTGACACCAGAAGACTTTATTGTTGTGAATGGTAAAAAATACTCCTTTGAAGATACTTACTCAGATATACCACCAACAGGTTTTGTTGACTTATTTAATACTTTAAGGACGGGTGTAACATGTGCTGCAACTAGAGCAGGTTTCATTATGTTTGGATGTCCGACTGAGTTTACTATAAACAATATGAGCTATAATACAAAACTTATTTCTGGTTTTTACTACCAACAGTTTCCTATAACAGGAAAAGGTGTCATACAAGGAATGTCTATTCCATTGACATTAAGCACACCAATCTTATATATTGTTTCAAACTTAGGTTCAAAGTGTTATTCGAATGTCGACAGAAACTATTATGACCAAAAGATACTTATGCGTATAAACAATACTTTCTCTGCTGGTTTGCCTATTGTTCATTCGAATGCAGAATTTTCAACCTTAGTGAACTCAAACACTTTGGCAAGTATAACGTTGACATTAGTTGACGCAAACTTTGTTCCTGTAAAACTTTTATGTCCTATGTATTTGTCAATGACGGCAGAAAGTTTCGAATTGGAAGATGCAACTGGTGAAAGTATTGTATTACAAGAACAACTTCAACAACAAATAGCTCAAGAACAACAAATGCAACAAATGCAACAACAAAGTCAAGAATAAAAAAAATATTTTTTTTATTTTTATAAAAATGTACAGAATAGATGTTTCAGATTTTTATGACTTCCAAGCATTCAGAAATATGTGTCCATTTAGAGACTATAACAAAGCAGTCGAGAATTTGAAACGTTTAGTCATTTATGTCGACTCTGCCCCAGAATGTTATGTTATGAAAGAATGGGATGTAGTCTTTAACAAACCAAGAGCAACAATAGTGTCTGAACAAGAATGTAGACAGAAACTTAAGAAAATAAAAGTTGTACAAGTTGGCATGAAGATGTTAGATGCTTGGGATATCTTATTGTCAAAGTTAGAAGATTTTTCAGTTCGTGGTATAAAGTTCTATACACCTTCTCCAAACTTCTATTCTATCTTCACTGGATATAAATATGAACAAGTAGAATGGAAAGAAAATATTATAGAAGCTTGGTTAGACCATGTCAAAGAAATTATATGCAATGGAAACGAAAGAGTCTATGAGTATATCTTATGTTGGTTTGCAAACATCTTACAACATCCAAGTGCTAAGAATGAAACTGCTCTCATTATAATTGGAAAACAAGGAACAGGTAAGAACACATTCTTTACAGATATTTTGTGCAAACTGTTAGAAGGTTATTCGAATCCGAATATGACAAACATAGAAAACATCTGTGGCAAGTTTAACTCCTCAATAGAGAATATGAAACTTATAGTTTGCAATGAACTTCAAAGTATAGATACAACAAAAGTTTTAAACTCAGATGCTTTGAAGAGTCTTATAACAGACAAAGTTGGAGTTGTTGAAAGAAAGTATAAAGACCAAAGAGTTTGTGAGAATGTTGCAAACTTCATTATGGTTTCAAACAATACTGTTCCGATGAAGTTAGAAAGTTCTGACAGAAGATATGTAGTTGTCAGAACGTCAGAAGCTCATATGCAAGATACAGAATATTTTGACGACTTAGCAGAAACTTTGACATCTGACTTTTACAACCACTTGTTCTCATATTTTATGACATTAGATATTTCTAAGTTCAATCCAAGACAAATTCCACATACCGAAGAGAGACAAACATTGTTAGAAGCAAACAAGAGTGTATATGAACTGTTCATAGATGAAACTGACTTTGAGTGTTTAGATGAAAGGTCATTGTACGATTCGTATAAACAATATTGTCAAGAATATGGTTATATGGCAGCTTCTAAACGAACATTCTTGGCAAATGTCAAAAGTCTTTTAGATGTTCAGAATGGTGTATATACAAAGAAAAATTTTTCTGAGTAAATTTAAAAAAAAATCTTTTTTTATCCGATAGAAAAGATGGCAAAATTCATCTCAGTAAACAAGTACATGTCAGGACTTAAAGAAGAACTAGACCCATTCACATATTTGAATGTTTACTTCTACCATTTTGAAAAGTCTTCATTCAGCAAAGTTTGGAACATCGAACCAGTTAAGTTTGCTATTGTGACTAAAAATGGTGCGAAATTTGAAGACTTAGACATTGACGGTATGTTGACAGTCAAAGAAAATTTTGACAGAAAGTTCTCAAAACTCGAAGAAGGTAAAGCATACAAACTTGTTATACCTTATGAACCAAAGAAAGCAGACGACTATGAATATTATGAGTCTAAAGTTGTAGAAGTTCAAGGTAAATTGGGTAAAAAGATTTTAGAGTCTAAGCCAGTGTTTACTCCTAAAGAGGAAGAGAACATTGACATTGACCCAGAAATGTTCTAAAAATAAAATTTTATTTTTACATGTCAAATTTCTTTTTCTCTGGCTCTGGTTCAGGTTCTTTCTTCTCTTCTTCTACTTTCTTTTCTTTCTTCTTCTTTTCTGGTGGAGTTATGTCAAATTTGGCGCAACTATATTTATGTAAAAGTTCTTTGTCCTTTAATAGCTCTTCTATTCTGTTTTCTATTTCATCTTCAAGAACAGCGCATGTGTCTTCTTTGCATTCTATGAAGTTTTGTTGGACTTCATCTCTCCAAGAGGCGTCATCTCTGTCAACAAGTCTGTCATTGACAAATTTTAAGACTGCTCTGCTTAATGTTTTATGGTTCTTGTCATATTCCCAGAAACAGAACTTTAGAACAAATTCACCTTTCTTGTTTACACTATGTAAGATTTTATGGTCGACAGATGTTTTGCTGTCGAAAAGCTTGTCTCGAATATAGATAGCGAAATCGCTAGACATTTTCTAAAAGATAAAAATTTTAATTTTTCTAAAAATATGTTAGAAAAAAAGTTTGCTGACATTGACAAAAATTTGAGAATGTTTTAAACAAGAACAAGAGGAAGTTAGAAAATGCTCAGATAAAGCCTATACATGAAAAGTTCTTATTTGCTCAGAATGGTATAACAGGTCTAATTGCACCACCTGGGTCGGGTAAGACTTTCACTTATCTTAAAATGGCTGCACAACAACAAGAACTAGATGAGAAGAACCCATTCTATGAGTTAGTTGTTATTTGTAGTACTTCTGGTCAATTTGACCAAACCGTCAATTCGTTCAAAGATATTATAAAGAAGTCTAAGTTAGTATGTATAAAGGATACTGAGTTGTTAGATTGGATAAAGAAGTACCAAAGAAGAGTTTTGAAGTATAATGCTATAAATGAGTATATAAATTCTAAGTTTAAAGACCCAAATGAGGAAATGCAGAGAATATTAGACAAACACCACTTCAGAAACAAACAGAAAGAGATAGAATACATTTCGAAGAAATTGCAATCTTACGATTGGAAGACTTACCCTCATAGATGTCTTCTTATCTTAGATGACTTTGCTTCTCATCCTTTGCTTAAGAATAGAGAACAAGATATGTGTCGAATTCTTAAGAAGCTCAGACACTTTAACATCTCAGTTGTCATTTGTGTACAGACAGCAAAGAGTTTAAGTAAGGATGTTAAAAGAATACTTACTGACATTGTACTTTTCCCTGGATTGTCCGAAGACGATTTCATGGAACTTATGAAAGAGTCCATGGCAGGTAAGTTTGACAGACATGAACTATGGGAGAAGTACAAAGTCATACAAGACCCTCATACTTCTTTCAGAATTCATATCTACGCAAACAAAGTTCAAATTGTAAAAAGTCAAGCTTGAAAAATCTAAGTGTTTAGTCTTAGTAAGTCTGTTGTGGTGCTGGGGCTGTCGGTTCTTCTGGCTTTGGAAGGCATTCAGGAAGAGGAACGTCGGACATTCGTTTGTGTCCTGTCGGAAGGAAAAATTTTTCCTGTCGGAAGGAAAATTTTTTCCTGAAGTTCGACCAAAAAGTTCTCAATTTTCGAAAATTTGAATGGTTTACGGACGAACAACAGAAAAAATTTTGCCTGTCGGAAGGAAATTTTTTTCCAGTTGTCGGGAAATTTTTTTCCTGTCGGATGGAAGGACTCGGAATGTCGGATGGAAGGACTCGGAATGTCGGATGGAAGGACTCGGAATGCCAGAAGGATTTGACAAGCCAATTTACCATCTAGAGCTACCTGAGCCATCTGAAGTCAAGCTTGAAAAATAAATGGTTCATCTACCCTGCTTGTTTGAAGTTGTCAAAATACTCTGTTATTTTTTCCTTTAACAATGGCAAATCTTCTTTGAATGTAAGTATTGTACAACCTTTCATATCATAGTGTGTTTGAGGTAACGTATCTTGAACTATTTGTTTCACATCTTCATTTGGGGTCATTGAAATCGGTAAGTTTTCGCGATAGAACCAATTTCTGTCAGATTTGTAAATCTTAGCAAGGTCGTAAAAGCTTTTGTTGTTTCTTCTGACTAAATGCAACATAACCATATCTTTATCTTCTTCATTTTCCAACTCTTCAGTATATATCATATACTTATAACTCTTTTCCTTTCCTTTTGGTACCGAACGTGGTATTCTTTTCTGAATGCTTTTGTCTTTTGCTTCAATGACTTCATCTTTTGCTTCAAGCTTGTTCTCTAGCTCTTCACGTTCTTGTCTATGAATTTCATCTAACATCATGAAAATATAACAAGCATAACGAGCTGAAGCCCACATTGCTACAGCATTTACGAGAAGTCTATGTACATAATATCCTCTCAAACCAGGAGCCAAATTCTTGCGATTTTCGTACGGAATCTCTACCCTCGGTTTTCCGAGGGTAGCAAACATATGAGGAAATTCTTCTAAAAGTTCTTTTGTCTGTTGGTTTTCAAACCAATGATATGCTTGCTTTGTAGAACGAAGAGCGTTCAAAATACTTTGCATTTGGTACATATCGTCTTTGACCGAACGAATGAGACGGAGTTGTTTGTTAAACTGTATGTACTCATATTCTTCATTTATAGCTTCATGGACTATAACTGTTGTTGTGTTCTCTGTTGTTGACATATTTGTCTTTACATACAAAATAAAAAAATAAATAAAAATAAAACTAACTTTATTTTCTGACTTTCACAAAAGACCAAAAATAAACGCTTTACATGTATTTTTCAGCAACTTCGTCAAATAATTTTATAGCTTTATCTATCTCATCTACTTCAAACGTTTCTTTACCTTTTATGGGAGCACCATACATTTTCTCAAACTTTTCAAGTAGTTCTGTTCTGCAGCTCTCATATCATTAACAAACACAACCTTGACTCTATTGACTGTACTGTCATATCTTAGAGTTATATTATATGTTCTTCCTATCTTATATCTTTTTGTGTTGAAGTCCTTCGGTTTCTGAACGATGTAAAGTAAGCCTTCACTGCAACGTTCCGTATCGAATGAACCATATGTTATGAAGTTATATCCAACAACTGGGTCTAACCATAACAAAACTATTGGTATAAGACTTTTGTCTATAAGATATGCTGTAGTTCCATAGAATCTTACCGATATCATAAGCTTAGGATTTCTTGTCAAAATTTTCTGAGTAGAAGCAATTTTAACCCAGTCGTGGGATGTTTTCTTTCCAGATGGAGATATAATGTCTGACAAAGAATATTTGTTGTATTTCTTTGAGTATCTTACGTTTAAATCACCTATTCTAACCACTTTGGTGTCATTGTCTATCTTTCTAACTGTTTCAAACTCATTGTTTGACATTTCTGTTCTTACATACAAAATAAAAAAAATATTTTATAAAAAACTAACTTTATTTTTTCTGTCTTAAGGAAATTCATGATTTTCATAGAGTTTTGTCGACTACGTTTTCTTACGTACTCGCTGTTCTTCACGATTTTCATAGAGTTTTGGCGACTACGTTTTCTTACGTACTCGCTGTTCTTCATGATTTTCATGAGTTTTGGCGACTACGTTTTCTTACGTACTCGCTGTTCTTCATGATTTTCATAGAGTTTTGGCGACTACGTTTTCTTACGTACTCGCTGTTCTTCACTGATTTTCATAGAGTTTTGGCGACCCCGAAGGAAGTCGGTCTCGCTGTTCTTCACTGATTTTCATGAGTTTTATGCAAGACCGAAAAAAAACGGTCTAGAGAATTTTCATGATTTTCATAGAGTTTTGGCGACTACGTTTTCTTACGTACTCGCAATTTTTTACGATTTTCATACGGAATCTCTTCTCTCGGTTTTCCTCGGGAAGCAATCTTATGCCATTTTACTCAGATTTTTGTTGCTGAATTCAATAAAAATATATTTTAGGGTAGAAGGTTAGATCTAACCTGTTTTCTACCCTCTTTTCTACCCCAGTTATTTTATAAGCGTTTCACATGGTAAACGTTATGAATTCGTGAGACTCTAAACAGTTTTGTAGCTTCTATTTCTTCGCTGAGGATATCGAATGTTTTAACTATGCCGAAAGTCTCTTTATATTTCTTCTTGACGTCAGATAGAAGGAAATCGTCAGCAGTTGGATAGTTTTTGTTCAGAAATGCTAACATGTCCATTTTATCTTCTGCTGGTTTTTCTGCTTCTTTCTTTAAGTCTGCATAGTCGTTTCTCATACGTTCTATCTCTTTGACGGAGTAGTTATATTTCCTAATTGCTGCTTTACATTTAGAACATTGCGGGTTCATTTTTGCGTTATATTCTGAAACCTTACCTGCTAGAACAACCAAGGCGTCAATGGTTTTCTTTAAATCTGAAGCAGTTGGTTTTATTTGTTCATTCCATACCTTACCTCTTCTATCTTTATCTCTTATCTGCCATACACATTCAGCAACTAACGAAACAAAGTTGTCGTAGGTCTTAAACTCCCCAGATTTATATATGTCAGAAACATTTTTATATACCATGTCGCAATCTTTGTCCATAACCTTATGGTTGCAATGAAATCCTAGAAACTCATAGTTTACCTTTCGTATGAACTTCTTTATTTCTACTGAGTCAGTTGCTTTGACTTCTATTTCATCGAATTCAGGAATAGTGAGTTTTTGTTGTTGGATTTCAGGCAATTTAGGCAAATGGTCAATAATGTCCTGCATTTCATAAAGATACTGTTCATTTTCTTCATCTTTCGCACTACAGTCTAAATTATTTGTTAAAAGTTCTTGCTTTATCTTCTGGATTTTTGTTTCAAAAGTATATGAAGAAGGAATGAAGTTTTTCATCTCTACTAACATAGATGTTGGATTCATAACTAACGAGTTTGGTGCTGTTGTTGTTTGAATTGTTGTTGTGCCGATTGTTGACATTTTATTTTTTTATACAAAATAAAAAAATAAAAAAAATAAAACTAACTTTATTTTTTATTTCGGGAAAATTCATGAAAATTCAAGAGGGTAGAAAAGAGGGTAGATCTAACCTTCTACCCTAAACATTAT